TGAGAGGGCTCTATTCTTTCGCCTGCTGCCTTGGTGCTCTTGAGGTTTTTGTTAATCCAGGGGCTTCCTGATCCTGCGACATTCGTTGTCTGCGTTTGTCTTGGCGATTTTTTTTTTGTTTTTATTAACGTGCAACCTTGCGCCCGTGGAGAGGGTGAAGGTGGGAGAAATCCGAGGTGTCCGGTCTTGAGTTGAGACAGGTCTTCCGAGCTGTTGGGCGTCTGCGAGGACGGGCCTGGAAGTCGGAGCATGGAGCCAGGGGAGAGGGTAGGGAGCTGGAAGAGGTTGCAGCTCTTGTGTTCAGTCCCTTAAGGTTGAACCAGGAACGGTTTCAAGAGACGGGAGTGCTATCATGGAGCCATGAGGGGAAGGGAAGATCGAGGCCCCTTCGCTGGCAGTGCGAGAGATTCGAACGTGTTATTCAACCCCACCTGTAGTCATTAAGGTAGAGGGAAGACGACCAGGGTGCAAAGCTTTTTCATTTTCTCTTGCGTAGCTGCAAGAGAAGTGACCTGGAACTGCACTGGCTCTCGTACTGCAGCTCGAGGATACATGGGAGCCGAAATGTGATCTGCAGGCATGGGAGACCTGGATCCTCTCTGCCTGGAACTTGGACAAGGGCATGATCTACAGTTCATTTTTTTTTTTTAATGCACCAATTCTTTTAAAAAACGACATCCTCCGTGGCAGTAGGCTTGGGCGTGTTGCCGTTGTTCTCTGTTTGCCTTGGGTCGATTTACATAAACGGTGTCGCACTCGAGATTCGCGCGCTGTTTCTGTCGCACAGGTGCTCACACGGTGTTTCTCTCTCCCTGTGTTCTTTTGATGGTGTTCGAAGGAGCCCTCTGCACAATAGAGACAGTCTGCAAAGACCTTGGGGAAAAGCGGGGAGTCTCTGTGCTTGAACGGACTCGCCTTGCAGGTTGGTAAGAGATTTCGGCGGTGGTTTGTGGAAAAACTCTCGCCCGCCCCCCCCTCTTCTCGATTTTGTCCCGAGAGGTATTGCAACCATGGGTGTTGCAGCCGGGGGGCCCTGGACGTCTTAATATACGTGGCGAATCGGGGATATTTCAGCGGTGAGAAGGCAAAGAGTGGGTGAAAAGGAGGAGGAGGCTTGGAGTCAAGTGTGAGTCGTGCAGCTGGATTGCTGCTTGGGCAGCTTTGCAAAGAGCGAGCGGGACAGCATTCCTCTGCGTCCACCTGAGGCTGAGGGAGCACAGGGAGCACTGAAGACAGCAGCCAGCGACGCAAGTGTGGCTGTGGCACAGAGGCAACCTGAGACCAGGGCAGAGCAAACATCAGCAGCTCATAATACGGGCCTCTGCTTGCATGTTCCATTGGCAGGTTAATAAACACCAATGCTGGGGTCTTGCAGCTGAGGTTTTTATTACATAGTTAAGTCACCTAGAAATGTAGGTGTTTCTGCAGACGCTGTCGGTCTTTTCACTGGCTCTTAAAGAATCGGTTTCTGTTTAAAGTCTGTTCATCATCTCTCATTGCTCGGTTTTCCGCAAAGGCCTGTGGATCTTTTACTCAGACTGTACCGTGGTCGAAGGGGGTTTCTGACCACAAGTAGGCGATTGAACTCATCTGTCGGGAGCCAATGACTTGGCTAGCTGGGGCTTGTAAGGGCACTTCGTAATCCGGACTGGACCGTGTGCGCTGCTGTGGGCTTGAGAAGGAAGCACTGTTCCTCCTGTCCTCAATAGAGACTGTACGGACCGCTGTGTAATCTACTGCGCTGTCACTCGCCGACCCCCAGGTGAAAAGATCGTCTCTTCAAAAGGCCTCGCCGGAGGAGAGCAGAGCAGTTCTGCCGCCTCGCACCTGTGCCTTGTTCTGTCTTTGAGCACAGGTTTTCTGGGAAAAATAATTCAGCTCCACCTGTCTGAAGAGGAAAAGGAGTGGCTTGTTTCAGAATATCCGTATTTAGGGTTGTTCAATTCCTCCCACTCAGGGCCTTAAGACCTGCAGACCAGCAGGTGTGCTGCGTCTCATTAAAACGTCCAACAAGTCAAGACCTGAGAGGAGGCTTAGTGGTCCAGTTAAGCCATAAATGGACGAGTCCAGCCCAGTCCCTGGTATCGAGCTGTTGAGGTTTAAAGAGCCCTAGAGAACTTGCCAGGCTGTTCTAAATCCCCATCAGGAATAGCGATTCCTGCTGTGATTTAGGCCTCCTTCCTCCTTTAAGAGCTTTTTGTAACTCCCGCTGTGCATTTAGCAGTTCTTAAAAACTGCCGACCTCTGGAAAGCGCCGATTCTTTTTCAGGCCCGTAACCGCTGCGGCTCTGCGTCTTGCGCTCTGTGCTGAGCGCACGAGCCTCGCGAAGGGACACCGCCCGCCGGGGGGACAGAGGTCCCTGGGTGATGTCTGCGTCTGGTGTTTCTCAGCCCACAGGTGCGGCCAAGCGGGGCGCGAGGAAGGGAGAAGTCATGAAGACGGAGGTGATGAAGGAGCCGGTCAGCAGGGAAGGAGGTAAGCAGAGCAGGTGCAGTCCACGATACGCAGGCCGTACAGAACGGTGCTGCAGCACTAGCCAACTTCTCGGAATTGCAAAAGAGGCCTTTCGGGGGCTGCAGCTCATTGGGACAGTCGCTAATTGATCCAATGGAGTCCTCCTGTCGTTTCTCTAAAGAAACCAGGCCTTCGGCCCCAACCAGGTGGCTTGGGCCGCGCGTTCCCCACTCCCACAACCCTTTGGGTACAGAAAGTTAAGAAACGTGGGAGGCACCCCCACGTGCTTATGCAGCGATCTGTGGTTAAGGGGCGCTTCTCAGAGATGCTGAAGAACAGCTTTGAGGCTGTTGAATCTGCATTTTGCAGAAAGAAATGACAGAAAGCGCTTCGCTGGATTAGGGGGAGGAAAGACAGTTTTTCATCCTTGTGATCCCGCCGGTGTGTTTTTAATTAAAACCGCGCTGTGTGACCGGACGGATCGGGTGGGAAAAGCAGTACCCTCGCTGCTGGTCGGAGCAGCTTCGGCTCCGCTCCGCCACGCGATCCGAAGGGGTGCGGGGGTGTCGTGGCTCTGCCGCTCTTTGACGCCGGTTTCCCCTGCCCGGCAGAGACGGGATCGGAGAGGAGCGCGGAGTCCGGCAAGATGGCGGCCGACGCGGAGCTGAACGGCATGGGCGAGAGCCACCAGAGCTCCCCCAGGATCTCCCCGGACGGCGGC